GCCTGCTGGCGACGGGCAGCGGCACCTTGCGCGCCGTGCCGGCCTCGCACTTCGTGGGCATCGAGGGCGTGCGCGCCTTCCTGCACTCGTACGCGCACGACGTGTCGCTGAGCGCCGACTCGCGCAAGAGCCAGCTCGGCTGTCCGGGCGGCAGCTGCTGCAACACCCTCCCGGCCGCGCCGCCGCCCGACAAAGGCGCGCCGCTGCTGCTGCCTGAGGAGCCCGCGAGCGCCCGCGGCGACGCCCACAGCGSAGACGCCCTCCAGGTGAGTCCTGCCGCCCACACTATTTTTGCTCTACTCCTTCCAACKCGGCCTTTGAAGCTACATAACTTTAAGTAAACGATCTGAGCCTACATATCCACACTAAATAGAGAGGTGTTTCTACCTTTCTTAGGTCTGGGTCCTTAAAAAATAACTCTATAATATTTATATAGCTGTCTATAAAAATGCTGCATTCCCAGAATACCTAATAATTGCTGTGGTAAATCTTGTTTTTACACCTGTGTGTTCTTGGAGAGATCCCTGTACACTGGAGAATTTCAACAAGGCTGAATTTAGGTTTTCTTGGCCTTGAGTCATCTTTAAGTCTTCCAGGTTGGCTTTAATGGAGGTTTTTTTTTGATTTGGGTTGTATTGCAGTATACACATCTATTCTTCTAGCAAGACATTTCTGTTCCTCATTCCCTTCTGCCTAATGTATTGTATGCAGTTCTGGTCTCCCGAGTATAAGTGGGATGTGGAGCTTCTAGAGGGGGTCCAGTGAGAGCAACTAAGATGGTTAAGGGACTGGAGCATATGTTATACCAGGAAAGACTCAGCGAGCTGGGCCTATTTAGCCTGGAGAAGAGAAGGTTGAGAGTGGATCTGATTAATATATATAAATATCTAAAGGGTCAGTGGATCTGATTAATATATATAAATATCTAAAGGGTCAATGTAGGGAGGAAGGGGCCAAACTTTTCTCAGTGGTAGCCAGTGCTAGGACTAGGGACAATGAGTAGAAGTTGAAACTCAGGAAGTTACCTGTGCAAGTGAAGAAGAACTTCTTTACTGTGAGGGTGATGGAGGCCTGGAACAGGCTGCCCAGGGAGGATGTGGAGTCTCCTTCTCTGGAATCTTCAAAACCTGCCTGGATGCCACTGGGTGCCCTGTGCTCTAGGTGCCCCTGCTKGAGCAGGGGAGTTGAACTAGATGATCTCTAGAGGTCTCTTCAAACCTTAACCGTTCTGTGATTTTGTGTAATATCTTTTATAAAAATAAATGTCCTTCTGGACCTTTTTAGGCATGACTGCTCTCAAGACCTAAAGATAGGTTTCAGTGTTCCTCATAATGAGTTAGAAATGCATGACAGCAGGAGCAGTTTGCATCCCTCCTGCTAGTGTTGAAAACTCTGAAAGCCTCTTTGCAAAGACTCTGTTCTTCCTTTCCTTAAAGAGGGTGACAGGCTGCTGAATATTGTGTCTTTAAGGAATAACTATCTAGACAAGGGCTGCTTGCCTCCAATGACCAAACATTCCTATGGGAAATCATTTCTTCCCACCTGCATGACCTTGTGACATCATCACTAGTTTCATTATCAGAAGTTTTATTTAGGTATACCTAGCCTTGAGCTGTTTTCCATCCCTTTTTCTTGGAATTCTTCTTAGTTCACCTTTATGGAGCGGACTTTTGCTTCAGAACAAGAGAAGCTAAAGCAGAATCTCTCACTAATTCTCATAACAATTAAGCTTTCACCAGCATAGGTGAACTTGATGGGAGTTCCTGAAAGTGGGTACTCATGGAAGTATCTGAAAATGTGGGAAAGGGCTCTTGAATCCACCCAGGCCCAAGCAAGAATTCTGGGCCTAGCTTTCAACTGGAGGTCTCCCTGACTTCCAGGAAATCTGATCATGGATCTTCAAGGTAGACTTGTGGCAAAACAGCTTTGAATTTCAAAAAGGAAGCTCTTCTCTCCCTGGGGTCACATGGAGGTCATGACTGTATATAGATAACCAACAGGGCCTGAGAAATCTCAACTCTTGCTTTRTGAGAAGGAGCTCAGGGAGAATACTTCCATCAGCAGGAAGTAAACAAGTGCTGTTGCACACTCCCTGGCACCTCTGATATCCCTCTCTGCAGAGGACCACACACCAGCATGGTGTGGCCAGGTGTGGAGTGTTTCTGGAAAAGAAGCACATAGCTTGTGTGCTTCACACAGCTACAGTGTATCACCCAAAGCAAAGCCAGACCTTCCTAAATGACACAATTGCAATGTCACAGTTGCAAGCAGGAGTACTTCCACCTCACAGGCAGTGTGTTAAAACTGAACAATGTGAGATTGTGGTTTTGGTGGGCCTCAAGGTGCATACATTGCAGATATACCTACCCCAAAACTTTATGGACAATTGTCATCAACCCGTGCTCA